GATACGTCCGGAGGAGCCGAGCCGAGACCCGGTTGCACCTCGAGTACCTGCGGGCACTGCCCTGCGAACCACCCAGCCCCGAGGAGGAGGAGGAGGGCGAGGAAGAGACACTCAGCACAGTCCTCTGAGGCACCGTGGGCGCCAGCCATCGCCAGACCAGGGAGCCCCGAGGGGATGAAGCAGCCCCAGCGGCTGGACTGGGTTCGTACCCGTTGTTTTCACCCCGTGTCCTCGTACCGGCCCCCTCCGGGCTCAGCCCCGCTCCCCACACAGCCCCGCTGAGGGGCCGGCTGCTCCCCTCCTTGCCCCTGCGTGGGTTTTTCCCTGCCCCGTGCCAGGGCCTGCCTATGGGGAGGAATTTGGGGGTCTTGGAGGAGGATTTTGGGGGTCTCGGAGGTGTTTGTGGAGCCGAGGACGTGGGGGTGAGCGGGGCCCCTGTGCTCTCCCCATCATCTCTGCACCCCGGGCTTTAGCAGAGCAATTACAGCCTAATCCCGGGAATTAACCACGTGTAATCCCGGGGTTTAACCACGCTGCCTCCCCCGACCCCCCGTTAATCCCTGCTCTGGGCAGGGGGGTGGCCCATCTGCTCCCTGTGACCACTTCGGTGCTGGCTGGGCTCACGCAGGCCGGCACGAGCGCCCGGGGCCAGGGCTCAGGCTGGGGCAGGGCCTCCAGCACCGTTCGCCGCCCAGCTGCAGCCCCAAATGGGCCAAATTTTGGGTTTTATGAATCCACAGAGTTTTTGGTTCACTTTGGGTTGTTCTTCCCACCCTCGGGGCAAAGCCCAGAGGCTGCACTCATGGCCAAGGACCCCTCGGCCCCCTGTGCCCTCACCTCCCCCCCTTGGGGCAGCTCTTTGACCCCAAAACAAAGCCCCCAGGGCCCACGGGCTGCGGAGGGCTCACACCCACCATTGCGGTAGGTGCCTTAAATCCATTTTAATTAAGGCACAGGGAACGGATGTTCTCCTGCAGGTTCATCCCGAGCTATTTTTGACATCAAAAAGCAGCACTGGAACCCCAGCTTTAATCTGTACAGCACCAGCCCCGCAAGCCGAGACCCCGAGGAGGAATTAAAGGCACCTGAGGCCACGCTGTGCGTCCCAGGAGGAAGACGATGGAGGCTGTGGAGGAAGCGTCCTGGCGCTGGCTCTTCAGGAAGATGCTGTTGAGGATCCAGGTGTTGTCACAGCTCCGAGAAGAGGGGCTGCTCCCGCACGCTGGCGCTGGCCATGACGGGGCTGCGGCTGGGGCTGGCACGGGGGACGTGGGCACTGACGAAGAAGAAGGGGACGTGGCTGATCTTCCCCGTGGACCAGCACTGGAGGAGGAAGAGGATGTGAGGAGGCAGATGAGCACAGGACACGGCAGGGGATGACAATCCAAGCGTCACCCTCTCCTCCTCCCAGCAAGGACACCTTCCCCACCCTCTCCTCTCTGCGGGGAGGTTTTTCCACCCCTCCTTGCTCAGCCACCGGATCGATGTCCCCAAGGGAGCCCCAAGAACTGCTGCCGAAACCGGGGACCGCACTCACCACGGTCAGGAGGGCGCCCTTCTTGAAGCAGGGGTGGAAGGCAATGAGCTGGGGCTGGGCGCCACGCTCCCCTCGCAGGAAACCACTGCGGGGGAAAGGAAAAACCACGGTTACAGCACGACCGCGCGGCAGCACTTGGTCACACCGGCAAAACACAGCGCTTTCAGCGTAGCTTGCGGTTAAGCGGAGATGTTTGGGCCCTGCCGGGATGCACCGGGCAAGGACGACCCAAAGCAAAGGGTTTTGAGGTGGATAATGGACGATGCGGCCAAAACGCAACTGGTTCTGGGGTAAAACGGCGACACCGCGCGAAGCAGGAGCACAAGATGGCAGCATCTCTCCGCTCCGACGTGGGTCTGCTCTTCCCCCCACGCCCCGGCGGATCGCTGGTATTCAACCAACCCCAAACCGGCCGCTACGCACCACGGCAGGAGCTCAAACACAGGGCTGTTGCGGGTACGAAACACAGCGATGACCGTCTGGCTCCCGGGAACGTCGGCTTGCCCTGCAGGAGGGAGCGAGGAGCAGTGAGGCTTTCCCTTGTGCGAGGGACAGCGCAGACGCCCAGACAGGCCCCTCGCCGCCGCAGCAGGGACACGGAGGTCAGGTTTTTGCGGGGAGCGGTTGGGCACTGCAGAGACGGGGGCAGGCAGCCACCGAGGTGGGGGGAAGCTGGCTGCGGACCGCGTTTTCCTCGCACCGAGGTGCACAGGATCCCGGGATGGGGCTTTCAAAGACCCTTCAGTGATTTAAAGCTGGCTCCGAAGTCTCGGGGAGGTAGGTTTGGCCGAGAAGGGTTTGGGCAACAGATGAGGCCACTCCTTTGGAAACGTCCCAGCCTTTCAGGTGTGACGTGGGGGCCCCGTCTCTCCAATGGGAAGGTTATTTTCCATCCTATCGCAGTTTCTGCACCAAGATCCTCGCAGGACCTGCCTGGAGGTGCAGAGGACAGGAAGGTGCCAGCTAGGGGAGTCCTGGTACCCTCACATTTTCCCCCTACCCGGTTTCTTCCCCACCAAAAACCGAGTTTGGGCCTGGCAGCTTCAACTCTCTCCCCACTGGTGGCGTGCAGGGAGGCAGCAGTGTCCCCAGCACTGTATTTCGGTGCTCCCTCAAAGGTCCGCTTTGTCTCGGAGCAGGGCCCGTCCAGGAGAGCCTGAATGGCTCGATTATCCCAGGGCTGCTCCTAGAAACGGAGCCAAGAGGCCCAGTCAGGCTCCAGGCGCAATGTGGGCACTGTGGGAACACGGAGACCTTGCAGGGGGGTTGGGAGAGGTGATTCATCCAACTGGAAGCGGGGAGGGAACCGGGATGCATCCCTCTCCGGAGGATACGGAGCAGAGTCACGGTGAGGGAGGATGGGAGGTGGGTGCTGCCTTCTCGACCCGACTCCTCGCCTCAGCGGGGTTTGCACCCCTTCTGCCTGCCGGCAGGGGGATTTTCAGGCAGAGCCTGGCGCTGGGGCAGGCAGGGCGGAGGCAGCGCTTACCTCTGATGATCACCGCCAGTCTCTCGCCGGTGGGGTCCCACACCATGGAATGGACTTCTCCTCCGATCCTGAAACCGGCGTGAGCGGCAGTGAGATCCCCCCGCCCAGCCAACATCCCCAGCGCCGCGGGGCTGCTGCCGCGGGGGGCACGGACCCCCTCCGCCTCCCGGCTGTCGCGTTAGGGCGACGGGCGCAGCCAGACCCACCTCTCCTCCCCGTAGAGCGTCTCGAAGGTGGTCTCCGACAGATCTGCCACGATAGAAGCTGTTTTCGAGCCTCCCACTTGCCCTTGCATCTCCCCTGAAACAAACGGCCTGGTCACTTCTCATCTCCCGCTTGAATTGCTACGTGGGTCATCTGACTCCGTAAATCACGCTTTTATTTCCAAAGTGATACGTAATTTATGTCTTGTTTCTTAGAGCAGCTGTGGAGCAACGTGCTGCGACCCCAGCAGCATCTGCCTGTGTCTGGGATGGAGGACGGGGGAGGTTTCCCCTCAACAAACATCAGGACCAGCTGCCTCCATGGAAAAAAGCCACGAGCTGGGCATTTAACCCCCTGTAAAAGTTTCCCTGCAAACCGTTCGTGACTGTAAGATCGTAACTGCAAGCAAGAGGCAACGTGAGGGGGGAAAAAACTCGACCCCAGAGCTTCTGTGCTTTGAGAGACCCCTGAGAGACCCTTCCCCCTGCGTGTCCCAGGTTCGCCTCTGTCCTTTCGCGCCCAGCAGGCTGGGAAACGCAGCTCATGAACAAAAAGCCTGTCTGGCCAAGCCCGGCCGCAGCCAAAAGCAAGAGGATTCGCTTGGGGACCAGCCGCTGGCTTTTGGAGAGCTTCGCCTTGGGCAGACTCACCCCGGTACTCCGAGAAGGACAAGGAGTAGATGACGGACTCGCCCAGCACGGTGAAGAGCAGTCGGCTGCCGTCAGGGCTCCAGCACCCTGTCTGTGGGACACAGAGCCGCGTCAGGGATGGGTTGGAGCCAGCTGGAAACGGGGGACTTTTCCTAAAACACCGTACGTGCCCCCGAGGGCCTTAGAGGCAACATCTGTCCCGCACGGGTGGGAAATGTCCCCATCCTACCTGGCAGCGTCCTTTGATGGTGGGCCACCGCTCGCACGTCCACATCTGAGCCTCCCACACTCTGGAAGAGAGACGAGCCGAAGCGAGCGGGATAAATTCCTGGGATCTGCCCCAATTCTGCTGCTCCAGGAGGAGTCCGAGATGTCAGACCCAATTACCCACCCGTTTTCCCCCCACCACATCGGATGCAGTAGGAATGGGAGCAGTTAGGACCCAAAGAATCCAGATCTGCTTGGGTTTGGAGCAAACAAAAGTGATAACCAGGGCTGAAATAAAACATCTCGCAGGTGGGGAGCTCACCTGAACACCGCGGAGGGAGTGGCCGCCAGGACCTTGCTGCCATCCGGTGACCAAGCCAAGTAAGTGACGCCACCGCCCCCAAACCACTGCAGCTGGACGCAGTTTTCGGTGGATACGTCCCACACCTGGAGGAGGGGACAAGGAGGAGGATAACGACACCGGGACCCGAACGCTGACCGGGTAGTTAGCGCAGCTTTGGGGGTGGGTTTGTGTGGACTGGGGAATACAGATTGATGCTTTCAGATCTAAACACTCCAAGTTCAAATTCAGGAGCTGCCTAATCCATCCCCTGAGGAAATGCCGCCTGTCCCCAGCAGTCCAGCAGCCGAACCGTCCCTTGGTGACCCCGCGGTGTGTTCCCGGTTCCGGCGTCCCAAACGCAGCCCCCCGGGAGGTACAACCCCTTACTCACCAGCATGGCCGTGTCGACCGGTGACGCCGAGAGCAGCAGCTCCCCGCTGGGAGCCCACGCCAGGCTGGTGACAGGGCTGTGCCCAGGGTAGGACAGCACCTGAGCGCAGCCGGACGACGGTCTGGAGGGAAGGAGAGAGAAATTGCCGTGGTTGATCACAGAAAGCGCCGGCCCGCGTGCCACCAAAAGCCATCGCTGCGTCCCCTGGCAGGACAGGCACCTGTGCGGCATTAACCCAAAGCCAACCCAAACGGCAGGGCCGGGGAGACGTGCGGGGCTGTCACCTCGTGGAGAGGGAGGTGGGATCCAGGTGCCACACCAGGACGCAGCTCTGGCAGGCGACGGCGAGGATGGAGGCGCAGAGCGGCTTCCAGGCCATGGCGGCCACGTTCCTCTGCAGGCGATGCTTCAGCGAGGGGATGGTGGCGCTGCCGGAGAGGAGGGAAGCGTGACAAGAGGAAAAATGGGGGATCGGAGTCCTCACACCACCCAGGGAGGGCTGTGGACCGTCTCCCAGTGTCCTCTCTCCAGTTCTGACCACGGTGGGTGCCTAAAAGCGTAGAGTGGGAGAGGGGATGTGCCCCACTGTGACCTGCTTCCATGGGGGGGGGACAGAGGACATCCCAGCCAGGTGACACCGGCGCCGTGCAGCGAGCCAGAGCACACCTCGTGCGATTTAGCACCGTGCCCTGTGCTGCCCACGGCCCGGCCCCGGGGTGGGAGATGGCACTTGCTGGCTTGAAATCCCAGCTGGGGCAGAACGCCTCGGCGGGGAGGCGCGGGGAGGGCTGCAGCACCAGCCGGCAGAGTCTTCTCCTGAGGAGGGCTTTACACGCCCTGGGGGAGCAGGGAGACCTGGAGGAGAAAGGAGACTCAACGACGCCCAAGAGACTGCTCTCCCTGCGATGGCAGCCAGGCCGTGTGCCGCCACAGCCTGCACCTGCCCCCAGGAGCAGGGAGGGAAGGAAAAAAACAAAGCTTAAATAAGGCCAGAGATTTTCGGAGGTGTCCTTGCAGAGCTCCTGCTACGCAGCAAGAAGTTTTGGGGACAGACAGTGCCAGCGAGAGCAAAGCCCGAGTGAACACCAAGGGCAGAGACGCCGGGGGAATCCTCGGTGTGTGCTGGAGGTGGATGCGAGAGGGCGAAACGGGGAGCAGGGGGTCTGCGGAGGCACCTCCCGAGGAGCAGCACCTCCAGGGATGTGGCCAGCGGTGCCTGAGGAGCAGCCCAGCCCTCACCTGTTGGAGTTGTAGACCCGAATGGAGTCATCCAGAAGAGCCACAGCAAACTTGCTGGTGTGGGGGTGCCAGGCGAAGGCCCGGATGGTGCAGCCGGCCCTGAAGGGAGGGACGGGGCAGGGTGAGCCGCGCCAGCTGCCACACCGGCGTTTCAGGCTCAAGGCAGCCGTGATGGGCTCTTGGGCATCGGGCATGACCACCCAGCAGCCCCCCAAGGCCAACAAAAGCCGTTCCCAGAGTCACCAGTGAAATAAAACTTCCTTTTCGCTGCTGAATGGGACCGTTTTCTCTGATAAATTCCCCATTCCTGGCAATTATTCGCAGGGCTCTGCCGAGAGGCTGGTTAACAAGCAGTCTAGGGTGGGTATTCGAAGGAATTTTCCAAGCCCTGATCTAGTTTAATGCTGTTTGCCCCACGCTAGGGCGTGCTTTGCTTCTCGTCGTCATACACAAACTGCGGCAGCCAGAGGCAACAGGGAAATATTTGCCCTGACACCCGTCTAACGGGGAGGCTGAGCACGTAAAAAATGAGGTGATCCTGGCCTTGTACCCCCACCCCTTTCTCTCAGCTCCGCAACCCCGTCTCGCAGGGTTTCGCAACACGCGGGACTCACCAGTCCACTGCCTGGGAGAACGCCGCGATCATGTCTTCGCTGGTTAGCTTCAGGGGAGAAGAGTTAACACTGAGCCAGCAGCGCACACGACAGCAGGAGTCAGGGCCCTCCCAGCATCCAAACCCCGCTTCCCTCTCCCCCCACCTCGATTTCGGTCCCTTTTGGAGAACTTTGCTGTCCTAATGCCTTTCCAGCGCCCATTCTCCTCCCTTTGGTGAAGGAAACCCACAGCATTTGTACTGGGCACCACCAGGGGGAATATTTTGCCGTGTTTTCAGCTGGGAAGCACCCACCCGCCATCAAAACCAGCCTCACGGCGCAGGGTCAGCATTGCAGGACGTGCCGCATCGTCCAGGCACGAGGGTTAAGTCCCGAAAAGACTCACCGAGAGGTGGGGGAACAAGGAGCCGTGCAGCGAGGAGAGCCAGTGGCACACGGCCAGCAGGTAGCTCGAGCCCGTCTTCACCCACTGCAGCCCTGCGGAGAGAAAAGAACCATCGCCGCTTCTGTCGTCTTCAACGAGAGGCCCAACAGGCAGAGGAAACACAGGCAGCTGCGACAGGCAGGGACGGGCACGATGGAAAAGGGGATGAAGGGAACCGAAGGATCGAAGCGAGATGCAGAAAGAGCCCGGAGATCTCCAGCTCCTCCGCGAGCAGCCCAGACTCACCCTCCTCCTCGGCGCTGGCGATCTCTTTCAGCACCCCGCACAGCCCCACGTCCCGCCTGCGGCGGAAAGCTCGGTCAGCCTCCTTCGCCCCGCGCGTTGGCCACGCAAAGCCCAGCCCCATCCTCTCCAAATCCCCCTCACCTGCTGAAAACCCCCCGAAAGCCTCCAAACCAGCTCTCCCCTCAGCTGGAGGCACTTACCCCAGTCACAGCGAATGCTGGGCCTGCCCCCAGCTGTGCTGAGCTCTCAGCTATATTATGACCCCCAAACTCTCCCAGTAAGCTCAGATTGGGGTGTTGCACAGCACCATGAAGGTCTTGGGGGAGGCTGTGCCCTCCCACTGTTTGCGGGTGAGCGCTGACAGGGCAGTGAGGCCTCTGCCGTGCTCCTGGGCGAAGAGGCTGCAGGACAGGTACGGGGAAGGGGGTTTGAGCGCGGATATGAAGTGAACGGGGAGCTCCTGGCTTTGCCTCCCGCGGGCCCAGCTGTTTTGGGGGGAGGTTTGCACTCACCAGGCGCTGAGGCATCTCTTCCAGAGGGACTCGCGGTGGTGGATGAAGGCCGGCCGGGTGCTGTGCTCCAGCCGGCTGTGAGCCTTGAGGGTTTCCTTGGGCAGGCTGAGGACGGGCAGGTCGGCCAGCTGCGGGCACAGACAGCCCGCGGTGAGCGAAGGGGGGAGCTGGGGAAGGGCTCCCCCCCCCCCCCCCCATGTTGCAGAAAGCAAATAGCGATGCGAGAAAAAGAGGAGGACAAAGATGGGGTGAAGGGATGAAGAAACCCCCTAAGTGTGAGCCTCTCCCCTTCGTGGCTGAGGGGGACAAGCCCCAGCAGGAGGGGCCGGAGCCCCAGTCGCAGCTGGGGGGAAGGGGTGACCCCGAGCCGGGCAGGGCTCACCTGGCTCTGGAAGGCGAGCGGCAGTTGCTCGTAGAGGCGGCCGCAGACCAAGGCGTTGTTGAACTCGTAGAGGGTGATGTCCCCGGGGGGCGGCGGGGGCGGGAAGAGCCCTAGGGAGCACATCCCGCCGCGGGGGTGAAGGCGCTGAGAGACGCAGCCCGCTCGCCCCGGTCACTCCCTGCCCAACGAAGCCTGTGAGGAGCGAGGGGTGACCCCGGGGGGATCCCCCCCGTTCCCCCTCCAAGGCGCGGAGAGTCGCATCCCGCGTGCCCCGGTACCTCCCTGCCCAACGAAGCCTGTGAGGAGCGAGGGGTGACCCCGGGGGGATCCCCCCCGTTCCCCCTCCACATCCTCCGCCCCCGGGGTGCGCAGGCCCCTTGCCCGGTCCCCCCGGCCCCGCCGCCCCCTCGGCCGCCGCCATTTTGCCCCTCACCCTTTTCCTGCCTCCCGCGGACGGGTCCCGGCGAGGGCCCATCCCCCCCGCCGC